ATTATTTTTGAATTCAAACATTTAATTTATTTTTAATGAATATTTTACTTTTTCATATAAATTTAGTGATTTTCAATTTAGTTTTCTATTTCATGGCAGTGCCTGCATGTATTGAAAAAGAAGATAATTAACTTGTATGTAAATCAACTATATTTCTTTGTAAACCCATTTTTTCTTCTTTTTCCTGACTGCCTTCCCTTGTCAAATTCTTAGATTTTTCTGTGTCTTCAGATAAATTACTATGGATTATAGTTCTCTTTGAAATGTTATTTACCGCCTGTTTGATCCCCATTCTAATCTCATTTTTTTTTTTTGAAATCTCATGTTGTTACAGTATTCTTCTGATAAATTAATTCAGCAAGTTCAGATTTTGTCTGGCGAGAGAGCCGTTGAAAATCGACGGACTATTTTGCCCCCTGAAACAATTATTAATTACATCATTGTCATCCTTTTTTTGAAAGCCACCTAAGGTCAGTTCAATGGTAGATTTGGCAAGAACAAATATCCAAGATTCATTCTTGCAGTATACGATTCAGCAAGTTCTGTATTTGTCAGTTGACAGTCCTTTTGTCTCCTTGGGGCCTGCAACTGTGGAGAAAAAATTTGGAAAAAATGAGAAAAAAATGGGGGCCAAACATGCGCTTAAAATATATACGAGCATTTATGATTGCTATTGATCGCATTCTTTAGTAAATAACTTTTGGCAATTGGATGAATTCTCTCATGAGTTGTTTTCATTGAATGGATCCATATTTTCATTTTATGTCCGTGTCCGCAGCAGAGCCACAGGTTTGTGCATTTGGTGTTTCATCCTGAGAGTTAGCATTGACAAATCTTGAAACTTCAATCTACAATCCCTTCTTCAGTCTCAATACAATTGAAAGATCTTGCTTTTTCTAGGTTTTCTTTTTTAATATTAAATGGCAACATGAAAGTGCATAGCACATTTCAACATTCATTTCACATCTCCAGTCATTTAGCTTTATTTTTGCATCTTGCATTTGATTTTGGCCACTTCACTGGTTGCAAATATTGACGGAAACAGATGTCCTGGCCAATAAAATTTTCATTGTTAACCGTCTTCTTCTAATGGCTCTTGTGCTTGTTAAAATTTTAATCCAATATGTGGTGTTATTCTTTATTTCTAAAACGTACATCATTAGCACTACAATTTATTCAGATTTAGTTGTTCAATGATTTGCTGAGAAGATGAGCCAAATTTAGTTGTCTTTGGATAATCGATTTTGTTATTACTATTTTGACTGACTTGTGGAACTATGTTTTCAGATTGGGCTTTACTACATGTATTCGGGCGTGTACTTTTACATTTCCGGTTACACGCCCCTCACATGGGGGGCGGGTCCCACGCATTTATTGTTCCCGGGTCCCGCCACCCATGTGAGGGGCGTGTAAATGTCCCGGTAAAAATATCATTTTTTCTTTCAGATTTTGGATAGTAACAAAGGCAGAACTTGTTAGATGTGTTTATTGGCTTTTTAATATTTATCTCCTTTGGTTCATGGTGATGTAAAAGCAGTTTATGTAGTCGTGGCATGAGTTTTTTTCATTTTTGGGCACCATGGCTCCCTAAATAAACCTGGGAGATAGGTAGGCTTTCTAATGCCAGAAAATACAGTGTCATTTTGCTCAATGACTCGCTATTCAGTGTTTTAAAAAAAAAAAAAAAAATCTACGTCGTGTCATTTTCTTTAGCATGTTGTCTTTTAGCAGTATTTGTAGTTACCGCTGGGAAAGGGGTCCTAATTACTTGATACATGATGGTCATTGTGAAATTAGTGCAACGACTTGTCGATAAATTGCATTTTTACATGCTCGATATTATTGTGTTCATTCTCAGTATAAATACATCTTCCAATCTATTTCTTTCCTTTCACAAATTCAACTACATGATAACAAATCTTATGTTTGCCTTACATGAGTGATTCGTTTTGGCACTTATCTTTGGTTTATTTCTTGGTAATCTTGCT